CGCTTAGAAATTTGCAATTGAATGGACGGACACAAATTGAATACCTGTGCAAAGAAATCGTCCATAAACGCCTCGCTCTCCACGGGAACCTCAATGTCATCGCCACCACCATCACTCTTCTGTTAAAAACACACATTTAAACAGTCGGTTTAATACTGAACTGAACTGATGAGGATGAAATAAACAAACCTACCTCATAAATACACAAGTAGACCAGAATAACTACAGTTAAGTAAATCTGTAAAATCTATAATAATATTGATAATAATAATAATAATAATCCATGCCTGTGTGCAAGTCTCTATTTAAAGGTGGCACTATGTATTATCTCTATGATCAGCAGGACATGGACACCTCTCCATACCGAGCTAACGACCAGCTACAGATGTGCGCAGCCACCGTCACGTGAGGACGACTAAACGAACGTACAGCTGGCTCGCGCTGCTCGCGTGAACTGGCCACTGAATGGAGCCGCTGAGAGCCGCACGCGCCTCACAGGCACGACTCTATGGTGACACGCTGCAGGACGACTGCTCTGATCCAAATACTTAAAAGTTATATTCATAACAGTTCATACATTTGGTCTTTAGTCAATGTTTCAGCATGTATATGTTCATCTTACCAGCGTTAAGATTTTAAACGCAGTTTTCATTGTTATTGATAAATGCAGTAGTTCGTGCTTATGTTATAAATGGCATGAATTCAAGCTTAAATGTATGCTAAAAATCCTAAGAAATATTCGATTAGCAATGATCAAAATAAAGGCGACAACAGTTGTGTTTTCACAACACCTACCGGTATTAAATTGGTGTTCTAAGCTTGTCAGGGCTGTGCTGGCAACAAGTGGCCCACAGTGGGAATATAACAAGTACAGCAATGTGCCTACCTCTTTCAGCTGCGCCAGTCGGTCCTTCATTTTCAAAAGTTTTGGGTCAATAAAAAAAATAAATAAAAAAAAGCAAATAAATAATTAGAAATATAGATTAAATACAGCTAACCTCACAGGTCTCGGTAAACAACGCTTTGTCTAGACTACACAGCTAATAAAATGGCCTCCAAATTAGTCCAGTTGAAATGATAAATATCCTTGAATGAATCCAGGAGATTTGACCGGAGGAGGGATGTGAGAGCCGGAGACATGAAGGTGGCTTCACACCAGGAATAATTCAACAGTGTACATGAGTAAAATATCTTGGTTGTTTGGATGGTTCTCTTCGAGATAAGTTGTGGTCAACCGAACCTGAAGTCACACTAAGCCTCTATCCTGTAAGAGCGGATTAGGACAACAGAACGATAAACCTCTCCCGCCCCCTCCCTCCTCCACTGTACCGTGTGGAGCTTGCAGGTTTCACGACTGGTCTGGAAAATGCTAATAGAAATTGACAACTGGCCTATTATTAATTGTATTTGTATTTAACTCAAGCTAGTTAAATGGAAATGATATCACATAAACTTTAAATTGTTATTTTGTTAATTAGGTTGACTAATATTAGTGTGTGTGTGTGTGTGTGTGTGTGTGTGTGTGCGTGTGTTATTATTGTATTTTCCCCAGTATTCAAATCACAGAATAACAAAATGAAGCTGAATGTTCACTTGTTCCATTTATACCTTTTTTTTCCTTTTTTTTTTTTTAACACCAAGGGCTGCAAGCATTGTTTTATACTCACTATTGCAGAGTTCTGATTAGCTGTACATAAAATATGTTGGAAAAAGGAAACTGAGTCCTCTTTAGCATTTGCAAGTTTATGGAGGTGTTGTACAGTAACTACAGCTCCTCTAGTCTATTCTATACAGCACATCATTTCGAGGTTAACTCTCAATTAATCCTTAATTAATTAACCCCTTAAGTCCGAGATCTTGGGCTTCACACGAAGAAATAGTGTAAAACGCTGCACTCATCATGAAAGAATCTAGTGATGCCATTGATGCTCTCTGAAATCAAAGCGTCAGAGAGAAATAACCCAAAGAACAGCAAAAAACCGAAACCGCTTCATCAAACTGTCGTTGTAAACTTTCTCTTACCTTAGCTGTTTGCCATGAAAAGTTTATTTTATCGGTAAATCCACACCGGAATCAGTTAGTACTACTTCCTGTGTTACACTGAAATCATTCCGGGCGTGTTTTGGCGGCTTCGTTAGCCGAAGGGAGCTAAGTAAGCGGTTCGTCTTCAAGATGGCGTTCTGATAATTCTGATTGGCTAAAAATGCTGTCTATCTCATTTTGGTGACTATCGCTGCATTCTATTGGCTCTTGTGATTCGAAGGCGGTATCAACCACTGAAATCGACCAATCCATGACGGAGATACAACCTTGCGTCACCACAGGAGCTTCACAGCAGTCTGATCAGCATCAGGCACAGGACGCCTAACACATGCACTGGCCTGGTTTAATTTTCAAAAAAACTAAAAAAAACTGCTGTATTTGGATGCATTGAACACTATTAGTGATATACAAGTGAAATGTATAGTTTGTACAAAAGAACATTCAGATGGTCACAAGTGTGCAAAAATGTGACCTCGCCTGAACTGTCTGTACTAAAAACTCTCTAATTTTGTTATACTTCACTTTATCAGAGTCAGCCTTTGCAGAGAGAATGTTCACTTATTGTGTTATGATCTGCGAGAGCTTTAGAGCTGCAGCTGCAGGTAATTATCCTGAAAGTGCTTTTTTTTATTTTTAGGCGAACCTGAAAATGTTTCACTTCTGCTGTGTGTCATCTTCATTTCCTCTTAACCAGTAACATATATACTGATATTTACACATCTGAACAAATCTTAAGTGTTCCTTTTATTATGACACAAGAATTATTCAAATAGGCCTTGTGGTTGCAGAGATAAACTGTTTTTATTATGGGTATGTAATTTTCGAGCAGAGGCCTGAAAAATAGGGCTTAACAGGTTAAGGATTCAATAAAACTGTGGAAACAAAAGAAGTACACAAGGCCCAAATTTCAGGTCTCTTCCTGTTTTTTCAAAACTTACATGAAGTGTAAGACATGCATTTAAAGCTTTGGCTAAATGTGTCGCGATGGTTGCACCTTTTAAGTTTACTAGTTAAAATGTAAACACAATTTCATTTCTACATGTCACAGGCTCACCATCTCGAGGAGTACTTAACATGCAGTGTTGATATGTTTGACTGTTACAATAGAGAGTATATTCTTGTCCATTTCTAAGAATTTTGTTTTCCCATCTCTTCACGTCTGTATTTCTTATTCCCCCACTACTGTGTCCACCTGTGTTCCAGCTTAACCCTTATGTAAACTTGTTCCACAGGAAGTTTTTGAATGAGGCTAAGAGGTGTTAGGAGAGGACATTTGGTGAGTAATGAGAAACCATTAAGAAGAAACATTAGCTATGTCGTCATTCATGCTAATTCTAAGCAGGCTTGAGTGTTTACTTGTTTATACAAGAAAAGCAAAAAATTTAGGAGACTCAAAGCAGTTTGTATGTAAACTAGAAACTCTCACTCTGTGTATCCAAATGTAAAGGAATAAAAGTAATGGTAAATAAATAAAAGTAATATTTAATATACAGAAGTCCATTACTGAAAAGACTTTTTTGATGAACGATGCTATCATTGAATAAGTTTAGTTTCAGATTGTCTGCAGCAGAATCAGAAACAAGCAACCCCAGCAGGAAGCCCAACACTCTGCAACTCCCTCTTCAGTGCCCTATAAAGCCACCATGTGGCAGAATTCTGAAAAACAAAGATCGTATATAGGATCTAAACACAGACACACTGAGCAGATGGGCAGGTGGAATTTACAAAACAAAGTAATAAAACTTACTTAATGGTATGACAAAGACCTGTGAATGACAGAAAGAAAAAGTTTCTTCAGGTCCGAGAATAACTTCATAACTGAAGAAACTAATCCAAAGAAACAGAATCCAAACATACAAAGACACAGGGGACTGAACAGACGCAAGAAACACAGAGAGAGACTGAAAATAAACCAACCGAAAACAAATGATGTATTGGGAATGAAGTGCCCAGTAAAAGTGAAGCCATTTAGGAATTGATTTCCTCCTATCATTTAAAGACATCTAAAATACCCATTTTCATGAAGTGACAGTTGAGTTAACTTTGTAGTTCAACATAATTAGAAAAATACATTATAAAAAATAATACATAATAAATGATACTAAAGCAGCAGTAAATCAGTTCATGATGGAGAAGGGAAAGCAGCTAAACTAAATATTTTTGGTACAGATCTGAGAGTATCCCATGTAGTTTCATGGCTTTAAATCACATGTTTAAATGTTTTACACAGTAAGATCACCTGTTGTGTGGCTGCATCTCAGTATCATTCTTCTTCAGTGGGAAAAAAATGCTCTGGTTTGTTTGCGTTTCTTTGAAACAATCACAGTCGTCACAGGCAGAACTAAGCAAAGAGTGCAGCTTCTGTGTTCCCTCAACATAGTGGCGAGTGGAACTCAGTGGTGGAACATTGCATACAGGTAGATGAGCACTGTGATTAAAACTAACAATAATCCACCACAAAAAACTAACAAAAAACAAATGCTGAACTGCTGCTCCAGATATGCAAACACTTCTTTATTTAATTGCTTTTAGTTTTTGGATCCTGAAGAAACGCTTTCTCATCTTGTTTGTACAACTGTTGTATGTACAGCAAGATGACAACAAACTTGATTTGATTTGATTTTGGGTCTCACCTCCCTTCCTCTGGATAATCCACGGAACCCTTATGATACAGAATTCACTCTTTGAAAAGTGTTTACAGAGCACAATCACCCTTTAAATGTGGACTCAACTGTCTTCAACTATTTCTATTCCAACCACCTCATGATATTACCCACAAAGTCATCGGAGCATAAAGCCTCAGCACCACCTCCACCTGCCTCTGGACATCATCCACTGCTCCATCTGCTGCTCTCACAGCATTGATTGTTAAAGTGGTGATGGACACAGCTGTCTGCTGCATGACACCCTCATCAGGTATCCACGTGATGAGATGCCGATGGAGTCTTTAATACGACATGAATAATACAGAGGTGACAAGAATTAAGGACTCTCTCGGTGTCAAGCCTTCTGTTTGTTTCCCTGTGCGTTCAGCTTCTTGCGGATTCTTGAAAATATTTCCAGAGTGTCGTGAAGGCAGCACTTAGTGGTCGCTCCTCCGCCCAGCTCCTATCTGAGCTCTGGCTGGGTGCAGCCTTCACACACTGTCCACCGACTACTGTCACACCAGCTCCGCGGTACACTCACTGCTCGCCGGGGAAGGTGAGTAATAGTAGAAATACTACAACCAGGGGGCGGTGGGGTATTTAACTGGGAGGGTGCGGCTTTGCAATACGCTGAATTTGTTCGCGTCACATTTTGTTCTGTAACAAAGCGGTTGTGTGAAACGCTCCGGTGGGCTGCAGCGAGTCTGTGCGCACACTCAGTGAATGCAACCAACTTCAGTTCAGTTGGACTAAACGATTCAAAACGGGTCACAAAACAAGTTCACGTTGTTGGACAACTATTCAGATATGTGTGTGTGTGGTTGTGTGTGTGTGTGTGTGTGTGTGGTTTGCGTGAGAAGTGGTGACTGTCCGCTGATACAGAGGCGGCGGCTGCTGAGTGCCGCCCCGGTCCGTCCCCTTCCCTCCCGCCCTCAGCAGCACCTTTAAAACGCTCCCAAAGTTTGGGGGTGTCTGCTAAATACCCCTTTAACTCGTGAACGTGCGCGGGCCCGTCCTCCTTTGTTCCTCCGTGCAGCGCGCTCTCGGCGGGACGGAGCTTCCTTCGGGGAGATGCTCGGCACGTTTGTGCGCGCGCCGCCACACCTGTTTGTAACATCAGCTGTGCAAACCTGTCATGCTGCTCATACAACTCCGGGAAAGGTTAAAACAACGCCGCAGGGTTGGTCTGCCCTTTGTTTCCGTCATGACTGACTGACCGGCAGCCTTCGCAGGGAGGGGACCTGCCCAACCGGCCCCACCCCAACAGCCACGGCTGGGGCCTGTGAGGCTTTCAGGTCCCGCTGAAAATATCAGCAGCGGGGCTGCGGTGAGGTGGGCTGGAGGTGGAACTGCATTCACAAAGGGCCTCCCAGAGATGCAGCGACACGCTGTTGCCTCTTACAGCATGACTGTGATTGCTTTGCTTGCTAATACTAAACATATTCACAAGCAGCATGTTGCTAATGTGTCCTATACTGAAACACTAATTGGTTTGCACAAAGATGATGCCTCTGTGACACAATATGTAGTAGGTAGTGGATAAATGGGGCCGGGCCCACCAGAGCTCTGTTTCCTGACAACCAAATGGCTGTCTGTAGGAGCTCAGCTCATCTTCTACAGTACTACAGTCTGACCAGCTCAGGGATGGACCAACTCAACTGTTGAAATCTGCTTTCAGACTTTTTTCCTTCCTGTCTTCACACTGAGTGCACAATTTACTGGGGGCTTGGANTCAAGCATAATTTCTTGCAGAAAAGGACGTTGTGTTCTTCTGGTGTATGAAGTGCATTATTTTCAATTTTGCGGTTTAAATGCGATAATATTGACAGGAATGGAATTATTGCAAGAATGATAGTTATTCTATCCCTTAAATGTAAAACAAATATGCACCAGACAGTCTGCCGAGGGCTGCAAGGTAGCTCGGTGGTTAGCACTGTTGCCTCGCAGCAAGAAGGTCACCGGTTCGCATCCAGGTGAGGACCCCCGTGCAGCGTGGGTTCCTTCCGGGTTCTCCGGCTTCCTCCCACACACTTTAAAAACATGTTGAGGTTAATTGGTGATTCTAAATTGTACGTAGGTGTGAATGTGAGTGTGCTTGGTTGTCTGTCTCTAAGTGTAGCCCTGTGATAGACTGGTTACCTGTCCAGGTGTCCCTTGCCTTCACAAGTCAGCTGGGATAGACTCCAGCCCCCCGCGATCCTAGTGAGGATTAAGCGGTGTATAGATAATGGATGGATTGGCAATCTGCCTAATAATAAGCATTATTTATTATCATCAGTCTACAAGCTGTTGCAAATACTTAAGTCTGTGTGTTTTCAGTAGACGTAGCTGGACTGTCAGTCTTTCCAAAACCATCAATCATATGCAAATAATCATCAAAATTAGTTTTGAAAAATACAAATTAAATAGCAATCTGCCACTCTAGTGAAACTGGAAATACATCTATATATTTGGGATGTTGCAATATTGTCTTTAGGAAATTCACTTTCTTCCTTGAAATTTGTATAAAAAGTTTCATAATTCAAATTACCAAAAGGTACAGAAAGCACATAAATAAAATCAAAACAAAAATGAGAATCTTATGGTGTACATTTTGGACATCGGTGAACACTTGCACTGGTGGCTCAGGTTTTTCTGCATTCACCGCAACTACGAGGAGGGAGTTCCACACACTCATAAAAAACTTTCGATACAAATACAAACATCTTTATTGTCTGCTAAAGGTGCTATTACCCAACAGTATCTTGAAATAGCAAGTAGGGGTTTGCAGGTATAATAATGCTAATATCAGTGTTCAAAATCTACCGTATGTCCTAAATCTGTTTTTGTTGTTTGCAGATGATGTGGAGTGTGGTGATCCTGCTGACTGCTGCTCTCCATGTGGGTGAGTGTCTCAGTTCATCTCATTTCTCCTACTGCTGTCTATGAAAGGAGATGTCCGTCGATCATCACGGTTCAGATACACAGGCGTAACAAGTACATATAGCTGAATTTTATTGTCAACACCCCAGTGCTTCTGCAAAAGAAAGTGACGTAGCAGACAGCGTTTAGGATGGAATAGTAAAGTTCTGCGTTTATTTCTGTCATTGTCCCTGGCATTTACCAGACAGTGTAACGAATATCAGCCTAAGAAAAGGATTCATACAATCGACGTAGGAAGGTAGGTTTCATTCACTCCGAAGAACTTCCGATGTCTAAGTTTCCGTGAATGCGCCCACAGTGTCCGAGTGCAAGTGAAAGCAGCGTTAATGACTGTAAGACTATGCATGGAGCAGCAGCCAGCGCTAAGTGGGCCTCTGGTAGGGGGGGAGACCAACACACATCTATAAACGTTAACAGCTGCTGCTCAGGCTTAGTTTTCTGCCTTGCCTAGTTTTCTGAGTTGGTAAATACCTGTAGCATGAGACAGCTGCAGGATCCATATGAGCGTCTCAAAAGACAGAGAGAGCTGTGAGGAACTGTGCCCAACATCATTAATTCATTTTACATTTTCAGATAAACAGGGTCGATCAGGAGCTAAGTCCCACTGTACTTTTCTTCACCCGAGACTGGTGAGCTGTCACACAGAGTCAGTTCCTCAGCTGCGGTCAGATCTGAGCTCTCGTCAGCTGGATGTCATTTTGCAGTAAAAGTTTAAGTTAAAATGTGTGTGTCAAATCAAGTTGTTTTTTTTTAGAGAGGAAGATTTTTCCATTTCAGAGCAGGATATTTATAGCAGTGACGTCAAAAGTGGTAAAGAAATGGCGAAATCCGGCTAGAAAAAGGTTAAGCCTCCTCAAAGTCCCGACAGAAACTTCATCGAGAACCTGTGGACTGTGCTGAAGAAACAAGAGCAAGAAATGATAAGCTTGTGAACGGGTACCAAAAGCACCTAGTTGAAGTGAAAATGGCCGACGGACATTTAACGAAACAGAGATAAAAATCTTTGTCTGAAGTCCAGAGGAAGGACCGTACCCTATCAATCCCCTTCCTGCCTGATGTCTGTACATAAAGCTCTGCCCTTCCTGCTTGTTCATTCCCCCTCCTCGTTCCTCACCCACCCTCCCTTTACTCCTGCCTCCCCTTCCTGTCTTATCGTTTTCCTTCGGGGCTAAGCTTTTGCCCACACCACATCAGCTCGGCTCAGCTCAGCTCAGCTCAGGCATCACCAACATATCGCTGGTTTGCATCCAGTAATCTATCAAGCTTTTAATTTGACGGTGTGCTCCTTGCTAATGGAATATTAGTATTGCTGTTTGTATATTTTTGACCCAGCAGATTTTGTCATATTTCCAAAAGATATACACTAAATCTATGAAAGAACCAAAATGCACAATTGCTTTTTGTGACGGAGATGCTGGTGTTTTAATTATCCTGTCATGGAATATTCAGAGTTACAGGAGTCATTGCAAACTCAAAACTGTCATGACATGCATGAGTGAGATTTTCAAAACTTAACTGAAGTGTACAAAAAAATACAGGCACAGACACAGAGATGACCTGGGAAACATGGTGAGGTATTCAGTTAGTCAATACTGAAAGTCTGTATTAGTAATAGGATTGTATATTAATTCGTTCTGAAGTGATGATCTGACAATGAGAAATAATCAACAATATTGTTATGAATTACACCTGTGCTTCTACTAGTTAAAAATCACCTCCGTCAGAAAGGTCTGTTAAAAATGTTAAGCTTAGTATCTGCTGGCATCCCTTTGTGGTACAATCAGAGCGTTTTCCATAGGATTGTCTCATTTGCCAGTTTTTTGTGTAATAATTTGTAGTACGGGCTTTAAACACAAACTGCATACATACTACCAAATGTGAAACGTTTTGCTTCTCATGATGTCAAACATTCAGTCTCATTTTCCTTCTCATCTTGCCTTTTTCCCAGAGTCCTATGCTGTCCATGACCTCCATGAGCGTTTGGCCCATGGTCGCCAGTTGAAAATCTATCTGCCCAAGAGTGTGGAGGTGCTGGAGTTCACTCCAGCCAATGATCCCAGTAGGACCCTACTTTATTGGGCGCACGGCAAACTCAGGTCAGACACGCTCAGGCTCACCAGCGCTCTGATTGTGGACAGGATGTAGACATCCTGGAGGCATCTGTTTCCAGTGGCATTTCAGGTGTTGTATTTCCATGCAGTTGTTTCTCTGTCCTCTACAGGGGCAAAGGCAGGGTGTCTGGCACAGGCAGCGACCGCCGCTGGTACATCGACAAAGTAATCAAAGTTCTTTACATATGATGAAAACCTATGGAAATAATATAATTGTCTTGATTATTGCAGTCTTAGTGCATGCAAGTTCAGTTTAAGGTGAAAGTAATGCCCTTATGTCCAAACCCCAATCACTGATGTTTTCCTTCAGCTGTTCATAGGAAAACTCCTGCTTATAGTTTGACCAGCGATTCTACATCCTCACAGTGTATTCATCTAGTCTGTATGCTTTTGTCAGGTGAGCTATGAGGACCAGGGGACCTACATCCAGAAAGACTTCTGGAATAAAGAAATCTCTACCGTCAAAGTGGCCGTCATACGTGAGTTAGCCAGAGGCTGTATTAGCCATAGCACATCAGAACTGTTAGTTGCTTAAACAGTGTAACAGTTTGCACGCAACACTTTCTGAATACAAGCCTCTGCCAACAGCAACTGCAGAAGGTTTGTGGAATGGATCTGCCCGTTTTATGCACATTTTAAGTTTTTGCTTGAGTGGAAACAGTGAAAACTGTTTTAAAACATTGCAAGAAAGGGTTTATAGTGGGTGAGGTTAGTCTTCCTTAGCCAGCCCATTCTGTAGAACATTATGGTCTGGCTGCACCGCACCATCATTCTTTGTTGTTTGTACTTCTTTAAGCCAATCACAGCTGTCGTGGGCGGGGCTAAGCAAAGGATCCAGGTTTGGTGTTCCCTCAAAATAGTGACAGTGGAATTGTTCTGGTGGAAGGTTTGCATGCAGGGAGACGAGCACTCTGATTAAAATGGACAAGCTAATTAAAAAGAAACTAGCAGGCCTGTCTTGCTGCATTATTCAAATCCTCGGCAAAATGTAAAATCTCAGTGTGGTCGGCTGCTGCTTGGAGATTGTTGTGGTGAGTGGCGTGTGTGGGATGTATGCATGAATTATGTCTGTGCAAGTGTTGTAAATGCATTCTAAACAAAGAAAACGAACCCATCACCAGACTGGTGTGTTACCTGTGGAGGGAAGCAGAGAGTGATTAGACTGCAGTCAGGCCTTAAGTAACCCAGGAACACACTGGGTGTCACAGGTGCTCCTGGTTACATCAAACAGCCACTCACAGAACCAATAGACAAATTAGAACCACCCACAAGATACAAGATGACCTCAGGGGTCATCACATTAGTCAACCATGGCTGAGCTTTGGCTCTAGGTTTTCTTGCTGTAAGAGGTGGAACAGAGTCCAAGATGTCCTCACAGATAGAATTCGACTTACTGATCACTTGGTTAGTATTTAGTTGAGGTGGATGTAAACTCATTGAGAATACCAGTCTTTTTAGAGGCAGACCTCCCATTTAGGAGGACCAGTTTACACAAGGTGACTGGTTATAAGACCTTGATGCATTTTATGTAAAGGAGAGGAGCTTGTTTACTTTTTTGGAAGTGCATCATGAACAGGAAACCCTACGTGTGACACCAGTTTAAATGGGAAACACACTGCTGAGGGTGTTGATGCAGGGGGAGAACAGAAGGAAGAGCAAGTGCTGGAAACAGAAGGAAACAACAGGATGAGATCAAACTGTGTATAGGACTGTACTGCTGCTAGCATTTGTGAGCCATGAAGGTGGACTCCGTTTCTGCAAAAGAGAGACTGTTGATTCCAAAACAGATTCAAATTGCTCAAATCATGTGGGTCAGCTGAAGCCAGTTGTACAGGCTATTTAGAGAGCTTGGCATTGCAGTCGAGTGTGGGAATGGGACCAGAGATAACAGAAAAACTAACTGACTTACTTACGTCTGTAATCGACTGAAATTGGGGAACACCAAAACACTGTCAGGTTGAGTGTTTGAGGGCAAAAATGCTCAGAAATTTCAAGCTAGCACATATTCATAATTGTTGTGGTTGCAAAAAAGCTTTTCTTTGTGGTCTGAAAAAAAAAAGGATGACCAGGTAAAACTCCTCACATTTCTTCTCCACATCTCAGTCTCTTTATTCTTCTGTCTATTACAGCCAGACACAACTATGTGAAGTGTGTAGCAGGAGAGAGTCTCTACATCTCACTGGAAGGCATCAACCTGGCCGACGCCATTCTCTCCTTTTCTTCTGGGCAGGCTGGTAACGTTACACTGGTGAGCTGGATAGATGGAGGGTTGCTTGAGGTGCAGGGTGGTTGAGTTTTGTTCAGTACCTGTATTTTTGTTTTTAAATATTTCTGCATCCTCTACTTTTATATGATTACTTTAAATATCAGCCTGGAAATTCTGAATGGGATGAGGGCTTCTTCTGAGTAAAGCATTAAAAATCCCTTCTTGTCATTTTTTTTTTAACCTAATACAAAAACATTTGTAAAAAAAAATTCCCAGTGATTCAGACAGAAATGTAGCTGTCGATCCTCAGTGACAGGAGTTTCTTTCCCACAGGTGCGTGATGGTGCTCGGGTGTCCCAAGACCTTCCGGATTACTGGGACCGGGTTCAGACCCACTCCATGAACATTGAAATCAAGAATGTGAACTACAGCGATGAGGGGCATTACACTCTGAGAGACCGTAGAGACCGGGTGGTGTCTATAACCAGGATGGACCTGACAGGTGGGTCCCCGAAAGATAGCTATATTCTTTTCTCATTGTGTGAATCTTAGTTAGCTTCCACACAGTGGTCACTAGTCTTTTGAAGCAGATTTTGAAGCACAGAAATTTTTCAAATGCAAAATCCTGATGCTATGCTAACCTGTAATTGTGATTTAACTGTTTATTTTAAACTCTAAAGAATGAGACAGTCGTCTTGCTAACAGCAGGCTGTAGTGGTCCCATATCTACTGCTTAGACTCATCTCTAAATAATGGCATGTCTGTCTAATTAGAAGTTGATGCAGTGCTGTAGAGGAGCTGTGAAATGTATCTTAGAAATTTGAATTTTAATAGAAAAACTGATACCAGTTGATCAGTATATGAGAAAAGCTTCAGTCTCATTCATCTTAAAGCAGCAGGAAACCAACTGGATGTGCGTCAGGTTTTTGCATTGCTTCAAGGCACTAAAACATCATGCACATTTGTCTGTTGGTTCTGTAACACCTTTTAAATTAGATTTTCTTCCTGAATCAGTTTATATGACCATATTCACTGTTCCTGTTATGAATATGATTCTTAGGCTAACTTTTCGTATGTATGGCAAAACGAGCACACTCTATTTCAGACCCCAACAAGCTGGTTCTTACTACATGAAGCTTTATAAAATTCCTGCAGTTCTGCATTAAAATACACCTGCAGATATTTGTCTGTAGGCTACATAGATGACATTTTACTCAGCAGTAATCTCCATCTGAAACAGCAGAATTGAAATTATGTCTTAGAAACTCAAGTAGACACAAACATTTTTTTCTGTTTTAGTAGAAGCTGACCCCTGAGCTTCCTGTAGTTTGGATCATCTGCAACTATTTTACTTTCTCCATGTTTATTTCTCTTCTGTTGTATTTCAGTTTCTGCCTTCAGTCTTTGCCTTCTCATCCCTTCATTCACACTGTGGAAATGTACACAGTCCCTGATTTAAAAGTCAGACTTCCAGCTTGCAAAGTGTTAATAAGTATTATAGTAACCGAGGATAAATGAATGTGGTGAGCTGCGGATTTGCTGTTAAGCTAACTATCCAAATCAAGAAAAAAATACCAAACAGACCAAGATTATTTTAAAGTACAAAAACCTGCTTTAAGTGAAATGAGATCTGCATAAATGCTGAATTGGGGCTGCATACATGCTATTTCAGAATATGAGGTGGGTAAGCATTTATGTGCCCTGGTTAGGCAGGACATGATGCACTCAGTATTGATCGTAGATGTCGTCTGTAACACAACTAAACCAGCTACGAACATGCTGATCATGACCAAGGACATGATCAGTCAGTGATCAGTCAGTGATCAGTCAGTGATCAGTCAGTCAGTAACAGTGATTGTCCAATGAGAATAGTGGAGCAGGATGATGGCTGTGCTGAGAAACGAACACTGCTTTGGTGCTTAGCAATCCCTCCAAAAGCCTTCTTGAGAATATCAAGACAACTGACCCTTGCACAGTTCTTGAAGGCCAGAGCTGAGCTACACTACACACAGACTGTGATTTGATCTAGATGATCTGGGACTCTGCCTGGCGGTTGGCTCTAACAAGTGAGATGTGGTGAGAACCTGCAGAAGTACAAGAGTAGTCGAGTTTGTCTTGACTCTGTCCAGGACAAATGTTCAGATGTGGAGGCATTATGAGAATTTTCGTTTGTACGCAGTACGATGAAAACTTGTAAGGACTTGCATGTGAGTTTAGGGTGAAACAAGCCTGGAGGCAGATTGGGGATCTCGCTGAGTTCTTTGGCAAGACGTCTGAGTAGATTCTCAGTTATGCAGGTCATAGTAATGGGTAGTAAATTTCCTACAGTAAAGACTAATAACAACATGTGTCCTTTTCCATCTTTTTTTCACCGCAGACCATCATGAGTCAACAGGAAACCCTCTCTTGGCTCTGCTCCTGCTGCTGGGCATCCCAGCTGGGATTTGCTGCTGCTGTCGGAAGAAGATTTTCAAAAAGAAAGCCACCACTGCTGCAACGCTACAGGTGCAGTAGGCACAGACATGCACGACTTCTTTTTCTCTGCCATTTCCTCTGTAATTTACAGTTTTGATGAGGCGGAAGTAAAAATTGTTGTTTGAGTGAAGGCTCTAAGTCCATGTGTAGGGAAGAGGTTTGATCACATTTTCTTGAATATAAATGAAACCTTTATATGTATTCTAATGGGCAAGTACAACAAATCTTCCACTCAGTGCACAAAAGAAAATCTATTTCAAATGTTTGTGTATTAATCTGTCTTCATTTAATTGTGTTATTGTGACATTATTAACATTACTTTAGCCTCACTTTTTAAATTCAATCCAATAATTCACTAATGATTTGCATGCACAGTGCACTTACCATTACACCAGCGAGCGCTCCTCCCTCTCAAGTTACTTATATGAATTGTAATGTATTGACAGTAAACAAAAAAACAACATGTGATACCCTGAAGCAAATATTGCATTGACTTTGTGTCACGGGGGTTTATGGAAAACCCGGGTCCAGACACTAATGAGAACAACGAGATACACGACTAAGTGAAGAAAGTGATTACAGCAGTGAAATCAAAGTGCAAATCCAAGTGAATTATTAAGTGCAGGAGTCCAAGAACTAATGACCAAACAACCCAGTAAGCAAATGACAAACTAAAGTCAAGAACAAGTTACGTATGAATTCAGAACTAAGTCAAATGGCAAAACACAACAGGCCAGGAGAGGAACAAAACTGAGAACGACAAAGAAAGAAGAGCTTAGAGGAGCAACGTAAAGGAAATTACAAGGACTGACAAACAACAAAGAAAAAAACAGAACAGACAAAACACAGGGCAAACTTAGCTGGCAGATCAGGGCTGGGATAGCGTGGGCACGAAAACCACGATCCTGAAAGATCCAGAGAACCAATCAGGGCATATGTCAGAGTTGACGATCGGACAGTGACTGAAGTCTGAGCTTGCTGCTGATTAAGCAACAGCTTACTGAGACAGGGAAAGGACGAGCAAAGACTGCCAGCAAATCAGAGGCAGGGGAAAGGGATCGAGGCACTTTGGAAAGTTCATGCTGGTCTCCCATGTTTGTTTTCCACAAACTTGCTGACATATTGTATCAGTGCTGATGCCTGTAGTGCTGTGTACAGATACTGTGAAATGAACAAACAATTTTCAAAGATTCATCTTGACACTCAACATTTTTAAGCAGTTATTATCATTTATGATCAAGAGATTTGTATTAAATTTGAAACAAATACAAAGCAGAAGTATCTTCACCAGTGTTCCTAGTGGACCCTACTACATACACTGTGCAATGTTATTAAAGTCATATTTATTAGACTGACAAATATTTCCAGCTTCTCAAATGGAAAAAAAAGCAGAAACTATTTATGTTGCATTTGTTTTACATCATTGAAACAAGCTAAAGCTAGCTCATTATGTGTATGTTTCTCTCCAGAATTCCTCAGAAGCAATCCATCCTCCTCCTGCTGGTCCTGCTGGACCATGCCCTCCTTACAACTCTAATGGACAACCAGGAGCAGTGAGAATATGCTCATACTGTTTATGTTTTATAGTTGTTTGAAATATCAAAGTCAATCTTGTTGATGTTTACTAGTTGAATTACAGAATGCGTTTTCTGTTTGCAGGTGTCCTACTACGGCCCCGACTCTAACACGGTACATTATACACCACATGTTTATAATATGTCTACTTACACAACCATCATGTGACAAGTGACTGGGTTTTCTGGATTTTTCTGATAAATAGAACATTTCTAACCAACTACTGCGAGTCTAAGTCAAGTTTTTTCTTTCATATCTATGATTCTATGTGTTCCTTTATAGGGTCCTATAGCCCATCCTTACCCTCCACCTGCTGGCCCAGGACAGTGGAATGGTCCCCCACCCTCCCCTGTGAGTGTCAAGTCTAGACTAAACTAGACCATAACCTGTTAGCTGGGGTCTGGCTCTGTTTTTAATTCAAGGTTAAACTTATTTAGCTAGTATTTGTTTTTGTTTTACCCTTTCAGATATAATGTTTTCCTGCCTTCTCTCTCTGTATTTACTGATCTCAGTCCATATTGTCTCCTTGTACAGGGTTTTAACCCAGCCTACCCACCACAGAACCCTTCTTACCCTCCTGCTGGTCCGGCTATGAACCCCCCTGCTCCTGGGCCACAGTGGATGGGCCAACCACAGGGCCCATATCCTCCCGGACCTGCAATGGTATGATCAAACTCTTTGTCTGACAGGAATTAGAGGAGTGGTGGTGGTTTCAGGATTTGACTTTTAAATCAGAGGTCGAATCTTTGCTTTGAATTCTGTATGTGTTCCCTGACAAACTGCTGACAGCTGCATACTACTGTGACCTCAAACTTATGGCATTTCAAAAAAAAAACCAAAATATTGTTTAACCTTGATACAACATCAGAAGCAGGACAAGTTAATAGATGATTCAACAATAAAAAAAAGTCAAAGTGCTTCTAGTGGAAGACGTATTCAGATCCTTTACTGAAGTAAAAATAGCACAGTGTAAAAACACTTGTAACAATATGAGCAAGGCAAAAACATGGCTTTTTATGGACAACCAAATATTTAGAGAAGAACTGTATCTATATCATCAATATGTGGTGTAAGCTCCCTCTGCTTTAAAAACAACAGTAGGTCGTCTTTTCAGTACACTTGCATGCAGTTTTTCAAGCTGTTTGGCAGGTGTTTTGTTCAGCATCTTGGATAATTTGCCACCATTCCTGTATAGACCTTTGCCTGTCTTAATGAATGTGTGTGTGTGTGTGTGTGTAGGGCTACACTCCAGCTCCAGTTGCCTATAGCGCTCCTCCTCCACCAGGAGCCGGTGGACCTGTTCCAGAGGAGGTCAAGATGGAGAACCTGGCCTCCACACCAGCTGAACCTCTGCTTCCTGCTGCATCACAGGTGCACACAAAACCATGCATGCACACAAATGCATTAAGAGAAAATGTGCATGGTGCTCAAAACAACTGCCACTGATCTAATCAGCATACACACAGGCATTTGTGGATATGTACTTCTAATTTATGAAGCTTACCAGTTAAAATAACTCAACAAATTGTGTTTGAAGAGCGTGCAATACAGTACAGTGCTGTGAAACAGTATTTGTTCCCCTCCTGATGTCTTCTTGAGTCACCCGTTGCAGCAACAACTGCAGTTAAGTGTTTGTTATAGCTTGTCATCAGTCTTTTACATGGCCATGGAGAAGCTTTAGCCCACCCTTCTCTGCAAAATAGTTCTAATCTGGCCGCAGATGGTTTTCTAGTATGAAATGCCCTTTTAAGTTCTTGCCACAGCATCTGAATGGGATTCAAGTCCAGACTTTTACTCGGCCGCTCCAAGACCTTAATTTTGTTCTTTATGAGTCGTTCATTGGTGGATAATCTCAGGGGTCAGATCAGATACCAGCGGGGAGAAATGGCTCAGTCCTCAGGTGGCAGACAAGCAATCTGGCCACCAGAGTCTTTCTCTGTGTTCCATAAGGACAGGACAGAGGAGTCTGTCAAGTGTAAAGGTGGTGGAGTTTGTTTGATGTTCAACAACAGCTGGTGCAACACCCAAAACACCAGAACTCTCTCCCACTCTTGCTCGCCAGATTTGGAACATCTAACCATCTTGTGCCGTGCATTACATCTACCCTGCGAATTCACCTCAGTCATTGTTGCAGTGGTTTACATCCCAGTACAAGCCGACATTGACACATGCAAGTTACAAGATGTGCTGTGTTGGCACCAAAACAAGCACCCAGATGCTGTCCTCATCTTGGATGGAGATTTTAATAAGGCATACCTCAGGAAAGTGATGCCAAATTTTTATCAACATGTGGCATCTTTAACCAGAGGGAGCTGGACCACTGCTACACACCTTTCAAAGAGGGCTGCAAAGCAGTTTCTCTGTCTCCATTCGGCAAATCAGACCATGCCAGCATTCTATGCTATGATATAAACAAAGAATGGCACAGGAGGAACGTGTTGTGACAAGGCAGGTAAGATGCTGGCGTGACCGCTCAGAGGCGACACTGCACAACGCTCTGAGTGATGTCAACCGGGATACGTTCCAATCCAGCTGCGGTGATGTGAACAAGTTTTCGGAAGTGGTTACGGGCTTCATAGCCCAGCTAGTGGATGATGTTTCCCATGGTTCGGATTTTTCTGAACCAGAAGCCATGGGTTGACAAATCTATCTGCACAGCTTTGAAAGCTCGCACCGCTGCTTACACCTCAGGCCTTATCACTGGCTGTATGGAGGAATACAAGACGGCGTCATACGGGCTAAGACGAGCAGTGAAGGGCGCTAAGCGGACGTACAGGGAGAAGCTGGAATCACACTTTAAACAGCATGAGTCCAGAAGCTTGTAGCAGAGACTTCAGGCAATCATGCACGACAGGGGGAGAGCCCCCGTCCTGGTGAATACACAACATTTATGTTGGGTATGTGTTCACTGACAGGCATGTGAACACGTTTCTTTCCCTCATCGATTTAAAACACTTTCAGATCTTTGAAATGGTTTCTGCAAAGAGTTTTCAGAAAGCTGCTTTCAGGACAGGAACATGGTGGGTTGATCCAAGCTAAAACCAAGTGGGCCATCTGGTTGAATTTCAGAAGCAGACCATTGCCTCCCTTCCTCACTTATTTTTGTCTTTAGCTTAACTATGACTTATGTAATGATGCAAAAAAGGGAAAAAATGCATTAACAAAGGTGGAAACAAACTCAACATACATTTATTTTTACCCACAGGGTGAAGCTGCTCCTGTGCCCCCCTCCTCAGATGGTGCCTATCAGTTCCAGATCAGTGATGGGAAAAACGCCACCAACTTCCTGTAGGGACGTCAGCTACTGGACCAGCTTCCTTCCAGTCTGCTCTACTTTGATGTTACAATACCACTCCGACCATTTTGTGTTCTTCTGTCTAAAAGTTCATATCAGGGAAAACGGTGCAGGTGAACAACAACCAGCATATCGATTGTAAATTCTTTTCTTTGCCTCCTTGCCTTGATCAGTAGTTATTTTTCAGTGCTATAAAATCTGTGGCTCAGCCAGCAGTTAAGGTTTTGGCAGTCAGCATGTAAGAGACAAGTTATTTAAGCTGCATTTCCACCAAAAGTCTGGTAATGTCTGGGACCTTGTCAAGGAACTAAAGGTTCCTTCAGCCCTTAGTTATCTGTGTTTCCACCGCAGTCAACAGCTGTAGGAGGAATTGGCAAATTAAAATTTCAAGATCCGCCTGATACAACCACCACAACAGGGCCCAATAGCTGGACTGTTCTCCTCTGTGGTTCCCCGGTGGTGGAACGAGTTACCAAACTGTTCAATCTGCTGACTCCCTCTCAGTCTTTAAGAAAAGACTAAAGACTCAGCTCTTTACTGAACACCTTTGAACTTGACAGACTGAACACAAACAAACAAACAAACAAAATCCTATTACCTCCCACACATCCTGCTATTGGCATCAACGCCCTGTCCCTGCTTGTGTTCTATCTGCTCTCAGATGTACGTCGCTTTGGATAAAAGCGTCGGCTAAATGAAATCGTAGAATTGTAAAGAAGCAATGGTGGTTTTCCAGCTTCACTTTTGTGTGCAACAACACCAACTAGTGATGGTCTTAACAGCTTTTTGGTTAGACCATTGTGGATCACCACCTCAAATGTTCTCTTTACGTCTTTCTCTGCCAAAATGCTTAACAAGGCCTGGACTTTATCATCTGTTCAGCTATCAAAGATTTCTTCTGGGGCTCCATGTTATCATGTCAACGCACTATGAACCAAAACAAAATAAGATGCATGAACTTTCAGAAAGTACAACAGAATCTCTGGGAGGATGATGGTGAGGCTCCTGGAAACTTGTGTCTGATGTTTCTCTGGTAGAGATGCAAGTAGAGGAACTAAATTCTTCAGAAGATTTGCAATCCCTGGGAAACGTTCCTGTGGTAAAAATGCAAATGTATGCATACATTTTTCAGAGGCAAGGAGGCAAAGAAAAAAAGGAACAAACTTCATGAAGTTTTAGTGTCAATCTAATACAAATGTAATCAACATGTGATAGTAATTCAGGACTGGGTTTAGTTTACTAAAAGTTTTAAGAAATATTATTATCACATGAATGTGACTTTGTACATTTTTTATTAATTCCAGTCCTGTTTGTCTTTTTCTTTGACTCCTGTTTTGTTACTTCAGATTAGTGAGAGCTAACTTTTGCTGTAACGTTCCAGAAAATCAAAAAGTCAAGAAAAAGACAAGAGATTTATGAAAAAGTCTGTTTATTCACAACAACAAGAAACAAACCAGTCTACCAATTAACAGACTTCTTAGATAGAAAATGTTTTATTGGCAAATAAAGAGTCTTGAGTTGCATTCAGACTAAACACGTAAACTGCTTTTACTGTCTATACAGTGTCTACTAGCTATGAACAGTTCGTGGACATGAAGTTTGTAGGCATCTTACAACAGACACTGACTGTATGATTTCAAACTTTGCAGTTATTGCTTACTATACACACTCTGAATATGGTCATGTTGTTTCCAGAAATTGTTGAAGTGAAGTCTAATAGCTTTGGGGTATGTGTGAATATTAAGCTAGAGCTGTTTCAGTAGCGGTAGTCAGCAACACCAAATCTAAGGCCATGGTGCTCTGATGGGGTCCAGTGGATTGAGACATATTTATCCTTACCTGGCTGTGAACAGTTTGGGACTCCTCTGAAAGAACTGAAAGAAGTGTCAGTGGATTGACACACCCATGCTGCTTTGCCTTGCCTTGGTGCTCTTGAGCAACTGTTCCTCTTCACCTTCCATTCACTTTGTGTAGAATCGTGGTACCTCTAACATTGGCTAACTTCTTGGTCTCATCAGGTCTTGATCTCATCAGAAAGTTGTTGTTGCATTTACTGGTAGTCCTAGAAGCATACCCAACACACAGACAACACAGTAACACCACTGACTCAGTACCGTGTCATGACTAGAGTGTTGCTACCCACAGTCCTGTCTCTGGTCTGCTATGTCGCTGTGTATTAGGTTTGCGAGTAAGACATTTCTACCATAGCCTGGTGACCTGGTTGGGACTTGCGGTTTATAAACTGGTCAATATGAAATATTTTACCTGTTAATTGGGGTGTGAAGTTCCTACCATTGTATGTATTGTTATATTCCACATCTGAATTTGCTGAAGTCAGTCTGTACAGTCTGCTTTTGGAAAGATTTATACTGGAACACTGAACAATAGCACGTTGAACATGACACTGCTGCAGTAAAGCCAGCCATTGACAAAGTTGGTTTGTAGCCTCCAGCTAATCAGCTGCTGTAACGCAGTATCATCAGTGGGTGGAGTTGTTTGTTTGGAAAAATGACCAAGAATCTGCAAATGGGCCGAGGGATATGACTGAGCCACCTTACACACACACACACACACACACACACACACACATATATATATATAAAATAAAAATTAAGTATAAATCAAGTAAACATGCAGAAAGTGCGTGGTGGCAAATGATGTTTTCCATACATGTTCCATGTAGTGTTTTTAGTTTAAAACAAATGTTTCAGTGGTCTTCACTCATCATAGCACCATTACAACCTCAGCAAATCTCCAGCCATTCGCACATCAAGGTTGCCAGGTACCACAACATACTTTTGTCAGTCATTGCCCTGATTGTGTGGTAGCATTACCTTTTGTTATGAACCTGAAAAACATGCCAACCAAAATCCAACACACAACCACCTTTTTCAGCTGTGGTGTTTTTTATTAATTGTTAGCAGTTGTTAATTGAGTTACTCATCTGGATGAAGTTGTTAATTGCATGAAATTTTAAAAAATCCACAAAAAAAATGAATACACTAATTAATCAGCTGTATCACTTTGAGCTGCTAGGTGGCTCGGTGGTTAGCACCGTTGCCTTGCAGCCAGAAGGTCGCGTTCCAGTGAGGATGCCGGGATTTTTCTGTGTGGAGTTTGCATGTTCTCCCCGTGCAGTGTGGGTTCTCCAGGTTCTCGTGGATGTACCACTTTGAGTGTCCTGTGTCCATCCTGATGTCTATCCATCCATCATCTATACACCTTAATCCTCACAAGGGTCATGGGGGGCTGGAGTCTATCCCAGCTGACTCAGGGTGAAGGCAGGAGACACCCTGGACAGGTAACCAGTCTATCACAGGGCTACACTTAGAGACAGACAACCAAGCACACTCACATTCACACCTACGGACAATTTAGAATCACCAATTAACCTCAACATGTTTTTGGACTGTGTGGGAGGAAGCCGGAGAACCCGGAGAGAACCCACACTGCACGGGGAGAACATGGAGACTCCACACAGAAAGATCCCAGGTGTCCTCACCAGGACGCGAATCAGTGACCTTCTTGCTTCAAGGCAACAGTGCTAACCACCGAGACACCTTGCAGCCCACGTCCTGATGTCCACAATGAAAATCAGAAACTAATGAAACCTAAAAACTACTGATGGGCCTTCATTGAACTGTCAATAGCATCACAAATGCCTTTCTCTTTTCGTTGAGGTCACTGTGAGGTAACTACATTAAATCTTGATCATGTCATGTACACAGACTATGCAGAGCAGATTTGGTAGACGTGGCAGTTTTTCATTGTCGTTGTCTGTTTACATTCTGCATTCTAGGCAGCTGAGCTTTTGGTATCACGTCAAATCATTTCTTAACTTCTCTATGGTCAGCAGTTTGTTGAAAAATAAACTGCGTGACCCCAGTAGATTGAAGCTTTGATTTTAATTCTGTGTCCGTATGTAACTTTTAGAGTCTATCGTTGTCTAAGCTTTCAAATTCACACGGTCTGAACACAATGAGTGCCTTTTCATTTGTCAATGTGAAGGTGAATGTTGCCCAGGTCTGTTGTTTTACTTTGTGCCCCAGAGCTGATGTTCCTTACATGTAAAAATGTGCTCGATGTAGAATTTTTTGCTTTCATATGGTTGAATTTACAATTTTTATGGCTTTTGTGCTGATGTATAAAATTATATTCCGCATAGCTATAGTCGATGGTTCTGGATGTCGGTGAAGTTCAAGATGACATGTAATTGTCCCCACCTTTGTTGAACTGTTTGTCTCTAGTTCCACATCCACCTCTGGATTTTAGGCTAATGAACTCTGACATTGGCTTCTGACCTCTCATTTTATACCTCTTCATATTGCACATGTAGCCTGTGTGCAACTCTGTCAAACAAATTACGCATGAATAAAGTGAAAGTCACTGTCTTTCCATTTTCAGTGTACAGCTTACGTTTGCTGCTCAAGTTTTATGGAAACAATGATGTGTGTGCTTACGGTTTTTATGAGTTAATTCTGCACAATAACAACAATGGAGGCAGTTTTTTATTTATTTATTTTCATTCCTTTTGTCTACAGTATATACAGTGTCTATAAAAGCATTCAGTACAAAAGTTTTCTTCTGGAAAACAAGATTAAAAAGAGCTTTTTCAAGAGTGGCTTTCTCTTTGCCACTCTCCCACAAAGCTCTGAGCAGTGAAGAAGCCAGGCAACAGTTGTTGTTGTCTCAGCTGCTGAAGCTTGTACCTCCTTCAGAGGAGTCGTATGCTCAGTAGTCACTAGTCTCTTTTTTTGCACGGTCACTGGTGCCTTACTTACTATACTTACTGAGTTTATTAACTTATTGGAAGAGATGCTTTAGGGTAAACTTTGACGTAGTTCCTATAAATATACATGCACAGAGTCCAGCTTGTGACACTAGTTAATCCACAAAGCAAGAGAATCCATTTTGATCTTACCAAATATTTTTCCATAATGATCAACAGTATCACGAGCTGCTCGAGAACATGTGAGAAACTTAAAAGTACCAGTCTTTGGCTTCGTGATTGCATTTGTCCAAAACCCTCAGAAGGATCCGAAGCATTACGGAATCCACGATTTCAACAGAAACACGCAGAACATCCAATCAGATTTAACCTCTGTGCATGAGGCTGAACAAAACAGAGACTATAACCCACCAGCATGTCCACAGAAATATGACGATATTGTTGTTGACATGGTAAATTGAAGCAACAGATGCAATTTTGAAAACCAAGCAAATGTTCTTTCTATCAAAGAGAGACGACAAGATCGATACCAAGCCCTTGGAATGTAGAGCGCTTGAGTTAGCTTAGCATAAACCCTGTTGGCGGGGGTGGGTAGCCTTGGGTTCTTTAAGGTGAAAAACACAAGACATGCACTCCAGCTGAAGATGCTGAGGACATACAGCAACTACCTGGAGCTCTGTACTTTAATACAGATATTAGAGTGGTATTGCTCTTGATCTGACTGAGAGAAAATACAGATAATGTTTCTTAAATTCAGTAAAGGCCTCGGTGATTTTATTCATTCATACTTATGCACAAGTGTGTCTATGTTTCTGCAGTAACACTGCCACAGAGCTAGTTGGGTGTTTCTGTGCCACTATGCTGAATTCATAAACGTACACAATGGTAGCTGAAATGCAACAGTTACAGACACCAATAAGATGTCAGGACTAAATGAGTCTATACATGGATTGGTAGAGCTATGAAAACCAAAAGACAGCATATATATGGCTACACTGGAGAAATACTGGTTCTTGCAATTATGAGCCAGTCAGCTACAGTTACAGCCTAATAGATGTTATATTTTGTTTCGCAGAAATATTATCATTGTGTGAAACAATATGCAGTGTAAGCATGACATTTTACTGCCAAGTGGACCAACCACAGTGGTCACGGTCTGCATAGCCACGCCATGTAGGCACATTTCTGGTTAGGTCAGGCTGCCGTGTAGGCTATGCTGTTCCTACAGCGTAGATTCAACGCAGAAATATAAATCAAGCTTTAAGGCACAAATTTGTTTTCATGTCTTAAGAGTGTTTTTATTTAGAGAAAGGACGGTTAAAAAATATAAAATCACGACATGCACACTAACAAATCGCTGCCTCCATGGATTACCAGAGGCACTGGAATGTATGTCTGTAGGGGAGGTCGGCTGTTGTGATTCATGATTTTAAGGTTTTTCACTTTGCAGTAATAACTACAGCTGATTGTGCAGTAAATTGGCTGCTGCTCCTATAATGTAAGTCCCTTCCTGAGCGTCAGACTTTGTATTTTGAAGTGGATTTCTTTCTCCTATATTTTATCAGCACAGTTCAGCTTTTGAGTGGAAATGGAGGAAAACCTGATGGAAACATCTTAACACCAACATAAAGTCCTATGTCGGATCCGATACAAAAACTGAAAGAAATTATAGGTATTAGGAAAGCTGCACTCCTGAACTCATTCATGTGCTGTTATAAACTCAGCCACTGGTAGGTACTCTTCCCTATGAGCCAGTTTTTTAGTCTGGATTTGTTAACATTTTGTCACACTGACACTGTTTAAAGCAGCCAAATTATCTACTAGCACCTGTTTGTACTGTAGCCGTGAATGTGCAAAAAACTATCAAAGCCTTACTGTGACATTGACATAACCTTAAACATGTCAAGATTAATTTCTATTTATGGATGCCTTTTTGCAATGTTTTCGATTTTGACTGGAGTTAATTAATCATGGGACAAAGCAGATATTAAATTAATTACTTTAAATCCCCCTGTAATGTTAATCCTGTCCAAATGTGACAGAAATATTACACTAAGTTAAAAAAAAACATAATGAATCGATTTTGAAGACATTAGAGAAAAAAAAATCACAATTATAAACCCTTATGTTACAGAAGCCCCAAAGAAACAAGCGCTCCATCATCTACACACAAGGTTTCACAACTGACGAACATTTGACTTCTCCCTCTCCCTTCTTCACTCTTCTGTCCTCGTCCACCTCTCCATCTCTCTCAGCCGTCTCTCCAGGATCTTCACCTGCTCCTCCAGACGAGCAGTTTTATCGGCCGGATTAGAACCGCTCGAAAACCCGACGCCCAGCACGACGCAGACGAACACCAAGATAGCCAGTCGCACGGCCATGGTCTCTGTGCCCACCCGGTAGTCGCTCAGGATAAGTCCAAAACAAGTCAAAGCGATGCCCAACTTCAGCAGCCACAGGGCCCTCCTCAAAGTGGAGGCAACCAGTTGGAAGAAAAGGGAGATCAGCCAGTAGCCAACGAGAGCCACGAGGACCCACTGAGCAACAAAGATCAGGCCCTCAGGTGTCACTTTGATCGGGCGGCCAACTGTGGAAAACAAGAATGAGTGAAGATACAAGATTACTGCAATAGCTAATAATTTCTCACTACAATTCTTAAGGGGTCATAATGAAATGATAATTCAATTATAAATAATTATCACGACCACTGCATTCATGATGTCAATGACTCAAGCTGTCACAGAGTTTTTAGGCCGACTTATTACCAGTTCATGCTTTCCACATTCCACTTAATAGCCTACGTACACAGATATGGATTTGTTCATACTTCTATATATATATGTGTGTGTGTGTGTGTGTGTATATACAGTGAATGTGCTATTTCCTGGTATAAAGGTGAAAACATGTACGCTACATTACGGGCCCATTATTGCCAACACAATTACAAGTTTTAGAATTGTTTTTACTTTTATATTTAGTATATACACACGTCACTGGGTTTTAATCAGCCCATTTTCTCTTTTACAAGTCTTTGTTCTTTCTGTGCACTTGATTTATTTCAGCTGAACGTCAGAATCTTTGTTATTTTACTGCTCCCCTCTGCTTCTCTGTTGCCCCGCCATGTCTGTCCGCCTCCAACCATCTGTTTACCATGACAGTCTGTGTCTGTGTAACGGACACGAAACAATCACGGACTTGACCAGAGCGAGCAGAGCGGTGCAGACGTGGCACAGGTAAAGTGAAGATAATGTTACTCAAGTGGAAAACAACTGCTTATAGCAATTAAATATGTTGTACAGTGGATAATGGTTGGGGCTAGATTTTTGTGCATGCAAATGTTGGAATTATCTGTACCTGTCGTCGCACAAAAAAGGAGCATCAGTGAAAGTCCAGGACTGTGGCGGCTGAATTATATTAAGTTCAAGGGCTGTGTTGTTTGGGCTGGCTAAAAGATAGGACCTCGATACTACTGTGCAGTCTCTAGTTGCAAATAGCATCACCAGTGAAAGATAGAAACACCCATTTTCACCCTCTTCTACAGTGGGAATAAGGAGTGACATATCATCCATCTTTACGTCCCGTCTATGTTGGGTAGACAGGTGTCCTCCATGCCTCTGCTCCTGCTGTGCGGGCAGCTGACCGTCTAATGCAGGGGTGTCGAACTCCGATCCTCAATCCTGCAAGTTTTAGATGTTTCCCTCTTCCAACACACCTGATTCAAATGATCAGGATCGTTATCAGGCTTCTGCAGAGCTTGATGATGAGCTGATCATTTGAATCAGGTGTGCTGGAAGAAGGGAAACATCTAAAACATGCAGGATTGTGGCCCTCGAGGACCAGGATTGGACACCCCTGGTCTAATGGGTGTGTTAAAAGAGGGGAAGGTCTACACCACTGTGTAAGCACACCTAAAATTTCTTCAGGACTGTAAGCCTTACCTTGGATTCCAGCAGCCTGCAGGATGTGTGAGGTATACTCCAGCAGTACATTCAGACCTGCAGTCAAACTTTCTGCAACAACACCTAGAACTTGAGAGAAAGCCTTGAGGGTGAGGGTGATGGGGGGTGGTGGTTGTAAAGAAATAGGGTTTAAGAAAAGATGCAGGGTTAGGATGGGGAGTGACACTGCCAATTGTCACTCAGTGTGAACAAATATGAACTGAACTGTCTGTGTGAGCATGTTAGCCACTAAAGCAAACGGCTGTAGTGATAAAATATCAATCAAATATCAATGTTTAACCTTTACATGGTGCATCAGTTTCTGTAGCTATGCTGATGACACACAGCTATACACGGCCTTGTCTCATGAAGACCTAAGGCCACTTGATGCCCCTTTAAAACTGTATTTTAAATAATAATAATAAGTTATGGGTGGCAGATGATGTCTTGATCATTGGTACTGAAACTGAAAGTGCAACGTGACACTGAGAGTACTGACATTTCATTCAATAAGTAAAGCTTTGTGTTACATTATATTTGTATGAAAATGGTTATAAAGTCTAACTGATTGATTTATTGAACAGGCACTGTGACTAGTCCAGGTGTGATCAGTTTCACAGTGTCGTCTCCACTCCTTGTTGTTCTGATGGTCACATTAAAGCCGCCTACTCTTCTCTGTTTCCTCCACATTAGAGACATCTTGCTTTGCTTTGTGAGCCACACACGGTTGCACTACTTCCATCTCTCACCTTCTGCACAGACAGCACCGTCTGCTCCCCCGCCAGCCTGCCCAGGGACGTCCTTCCCTTCCCGGCCAGATCAGCCAGGGCTGCCCGGAGCTCCTGGATCACCCCGGAGCTGCTCTCGAACACTTTCTCTCCAGCAGCAGGTACGATCAAGACGCAAAGCAAACACAGGCCGCCTAAAGCCCTCAGACTTGAATGGGGAAACATAATGAGAGCGGGTTTATCTACAAACACTAACAGACAACAAACAGCTGAACATGAGTAGTCATGGGAGGACGCACGACAAAGTTTTTCCAACAGGATGTGGTAAAAGTTAGAAATGAATGAAAAGAGACGCCTGCCACCTACTGGGCTGAATGTGCATGTTTCTCCTGTCAGGGTCCAGTCCATAGATATGTATGCATGTCTATGATCCAGTCCTCAGGGCGGCTGCGTTTCCGGTAAACGTTACTTTTTCCAGCCTCCTTCAGTGCTGCGTTCAAGTGCTGGAGAGAAAGTCCGGACGCTGGTCGGATGGTTGCGTTACATCCTATTGTGTCCAAAAACAAACGCCTTATTGACAGCGAACATGCTTCCGGTGTTTTAGACCAACTGGAGTTCCGATCAGCTGGTGGTACCAGAGGTTCTGGAGGCCCTTTACTGACTGACCGGGAAATAAATAATAATGGGACAACTTAGGCTATAAAATGAGATTAGTCCTGTCCTACTCGGTACTGTTTTGTACTTGACTAAAATATATGGAAATAAAGAGACGTTCTCATTTTAAAGCTCATCGTCAAAATAAATAAATAAATAAATAAATAATAATAATAATAATAATAATAATAATAATATAATAGTGATAAATACTATTAGTAGGAAAGCAGCGGAGACAGGAGCCCAACACAGTTTGCACATTATTTCGACACAAAAGCGACTAAACTGTGTGATAAGAGAATGTCAAGTGTTTAAGTATAACAATAAGTTGATATAGTTTTGGCACATTTAGATCACATTGTCACTATACTGGCTTATTCAAACCCACCAACATCCAAAAATCACATAACCTTATTTTTCTCACTGTCTGACATTAAATTAGAACTTTTCCTGTTTTAGGTCAGTTTATTACTAAAATTATAAAATTATTTCTATTTGCTAAATGCCAGAATAATGAGAGAGATTTATTTTTTTTAAAAAAATATTTTTTTATTACTGTCCTCAAAGTCATTAGTTTACATACATTTCCTTAGTATTTGGTAGTGTTGCCTTTAAACTGTAGGACTTGGGTCAAACGTTCTGGGTTTCCTTCCACAAGCTTCTCACAACAGTCTGATGAGTTCTGGCCCATTCCTCCTGACAGAACTGGTGGAGTCAGGTTTGTTGGCCGCCTTGCTCCGCACGCCTTTTCAGCTCTGCACACACGTTTTCTGCTGGACTGAGATCAGGGCTTTGTGATGGCCACTCCAAAACACTGACTCTGTTGTCCTGAAGCCTCTTTGTAACTAATCTGGTGGTATGCTGAAGGTCATTGTCCATCTGAAGACGACACCTCAGTGGTCAGACTGATCTCGAGGGGAGGGGAGACGAGTCAACCTACACAGAGGAGGTCCAGAAGCTCTCAACCTGGTGCTCAGACAGTAACCTGGCACTGAACACTGCAAAGACCAAGGAGATCATCGTGGATGTCAGGAGGAACCGAACCAACCTGCCCCCAGAGGACAGTCAATGCAGCACAGAGGATTGTTGGCTGCCCTCTGCCCTCCCTGACAGACATTTACACCACCCGGTGCCTCAGCAGAGCTCGCAACATCACTAAAGACAGTTCACACCTCGGTTCTCAGCTGTTTGAGCTGTTGCCCTCTGGGAGGCGCTCTAGATGCTCCAAAGCAAAGACCAACAGACTGAGAAACAGTTTCTTTCCGAGAGCCGTCACCACCATGAACTCTCACATGTAAATATCCACTCTTACCTCAGTAAGACTCCTCCACTATGTGCAGTATGTAAATATCCATTATCTGTATATAAATATCCATTATCTCATACAATACTTCTTGAATCTTTTATTTCTTTTTAAATATTTATCTTTTTTTTATCTTTTATGTTTTCTGAGCAATTTTGAACTTTATTTTGTTTTAACTTGCACTGAAAATAGGAGAAGCTACACTGTATAATGACAATGAAGGGCATTCATTCATTCATTCATTCATTCAACAGTCAACAGTAAAAATGTCTAAAGTTCAGCTAAGTCCATTGGAGGGTTCTGCTGTCTGAGTAAATAAATCAGATGGACATAATCCAAAGTCTATTTAGTACAAAGCTCACTGTTTGTGTTTCCAAGCTTGCTGAGTCTACTTACCACTGTGGCATTGTTACCTTTTTACTTTTTGTGATATTTTGTTGACTTACTAGCAGATCGACCTGAAAAGGAAACAGCAAGTGACAGATTGTTATTTTTGCTTTAGTTCAATTATATTTAGTGCCAAATCACAACATGTGGAATCTCAGATTACTGCACACAGTAAGGTTTAGACATTGCATCTTCATCTGAAAGGTCGTTACAGCATAGCTCGAACACCAGGGACTTTGACATGTTTGCCCAGCTTCTTTTTGGACACCTTAGTCACAATCTCCGTCATCGGCAGCTCCAGTCTCTCTTTAAGTTTGGCAGCAGGCATGAAAAAGGAATAGAGCATGGATAGTCCCTGAGAGAGCATGGTGATCTCCAACTAATGCTCATTTTTAAAGTAGTCCAGGAACTGTCATCTCTTCAGGGCTAGTGGGCTCTGGTGAAGGCTGAGAGGAAGTCTTAGATCCACTCACAGTAGGTGTGGCCAAAGCCTGAAGGACACAAGCAATTCTAATCTAAACCACATCACCCTAGCCTCAAGACTTGACTGTAACCCTACCCTAAAACTCAGTCTGAACCTTTCAAGTCTTTTGAAGTCGGAATCATTGCATCAGTGGTTTATCCTGTTGTAATAAATTTGACTAGTGTTGTGCAGAAATACTCACAACACAAAATTAGACCTCATGAAACAAGAACAATTCAAAACACACACATTTTCCCATAACACCTCATGCCCTCCGTTCACTGGACGACATGAGTATCTGTACTAAACATGGCGACCCATCTATGAGACTTTCAGATGTCCAAGTTTTGAAGCAGTGGATCCACACCATCATACAGGCGTGTTGCTTGCATGGATAGATATACAGTGGCCTCTGACAGCAGTAAAACCCCTTGATGTTTCCACACTTCACTGTGTTTTCACTTTTTCATTAAGGGCTATTAAGACAGAAGGAGGAAAATGCAGGTTGTATCTTTGACACTTTAAACAACAACACAATGCTGTATGCAAAAAGTGAAGGGGTCTGAATACTTTATGAATGTACCTTCAGAGTGTTTAGTGGCATTGGGAAGACGTGACATACAGTCCTTTCAGAATATTGAATAACAAGCAAGAATACACATAAATACAGCAAACCCAGTTTTTGAGAACCTGATTTTTTTTTTGCTGAACAAGCATCTTCTGCACAAAACAATACATTGCAAAATCTGCCCTTCACCCCAGCAAGCCTGCAAATATGTTGTATCCTCGAAATGTATTCCCAGACAGTACTTACTCCCAGACATTTGTAGTATTTTGGTAGGCTTTCTGCAATGATCTCTGAATCTTTTAAATTATGCTTTCACATGAGCTACATAACATTCGTAAACACGTGGCTGAGACTAAACCAGCAGAGCTGTATGTGAATAACTGCTGCATGTTTGCGTTGTTTTGCTGCTCAAACGTGGACTATGTGCATTTGAAGGCCTTTTTGTCCCAACAGTACCAGAGTCCACCCCTTCAGCGGTCATCATGAGCCAGTTCTTGTTCTGAGAAACACTCACACACAGGGGGTTTGACAAAATGTGTCCAAACTAAGGGTTTCATTCATATTTATGAACATATGATTTTATTTTGTATAAAATAAACAACAATAGTAAGTATTGTCATAGTTAGTACAAAATGCATGAATATATATTTTTTTATAGTACTACGTGAACATGGTGTCAAACAAATACAACAGTGCACGATACTTTATATGCTCCTGGTCAAACATTGTGAGGACAAAAGGCTGCAATAGGCCACGAGAGGGTTTGTGTGTCCGTGGGAACAACAAAGTGTCTTCCTCTCAAACTAAAGCTTCTTCCTTAGATGCGGTGAGGCTTCTTGCTCATGCAGTTTGGGGAACATTCTTGTTGCTTGCCCGTCCTTTTCACATGATTACAAAATCAGGATCTTTCAACTGTGAGTTCTTTTTTCACAATTTTTCTCACAGTTACGAGATACAAAAATCACAATTGCAAGAGACGGCTCTATTTTCTTTTTCTTTGGTGGATTTTGGTCGAGATTTCAAGTTAGATTTTAACTTCTGTGACTGCTTTAAGTGCTCTGTAAGCTTTTTGACAAGATTTTTGTGAATCGGCTAACCAAAATGCTGAACTGGCAGAATGCACAGTTACACTTGATCTCTACACAACTTTTAAAGCATGTTTTACTTGAAGACGGTTCAGGTGTGTTGTAAAAGATGGCTACTTATATAATCAGTTATGTGGGGTACATGACAGGCTCTTCCTGACCTTGCCATCTGTGACCCGGGTACACTGTGCACCTGCAGCCACTTCCTGCACACTGCTACACTTTAAAGCCTCTTCGGCCCAGAAAGTTGGCTGCATTATTGGGAAGCATTTATCTTGTGTCACATTCAATACATTCGTCATCATGTCATACTTAAACAGTGTTTAGGTATGGTTCCTGCCATCATTTGCTTCTTTTTTAAATGTATTTATTACAGGTCAGGTGTTCATTGGTTCAAGGTTTGAACCATTCGACTGAAATGATGACAGTGATCGACACCGATGAAAAAAACCTGGTGTCGACATGCCAGGTAGGACAGTGAATAAGTCATAGATACAAGTAAATAGAAAAAAATTCAAGACGATGAATGATTAGGTCTTAACACAACACGTGAATCATCTTAATGAGAAGTGATCTGTCTCCTTGGTGACTGTTGGTCCAGTGATTGATCAGTTGAAGTCAGGGGGTATAACAGTTGTTGGGGTAGTTGGAGCAGCTTGAGTGAGAGACTATAAAAGAAAGAAAAGGCGAGTCAGTGCGTTGGATATCTTGCTGTTTATCTCATTAGAATTTGGCAGCATTCTCAGATGGTATGAGCCAGCTCATTATGATGCACTAATCAGAAATGTGGATAGAGGCCGTCTCTGAGCACATCTCCAGAGACCAACTGATTTGAGGGGCTCGTCTAAAGGTTCACAGATATGTGAGTTAGTATATTTTTTTCACTCCTACTTGCTGCTGAATTAGGCCGGCAGAGACACACAAAACATTTCCCAGGACCTGGTCATTTTCTTCTTCTGAATACCACAGCGCTTCTCTTTTGGTTGCTCAAGTCAGCACTAACACAGACTGATGAAATCCCTTTAGGGTAGGATTAACTAGCATTTGTTGCAGGGTTTAGAATCTTAGGGAAAATCCTTCGTCCCCACAATAGAAATATTTGTAATGTCACGTAATGTAAAAATATGAAAAAAATAAATACAAAATTAGAAGAGGACCAATCTGACTCATCAGTTATTATAGTCCTAAAAGGCCTGCTTATCAATTCTGCTTGTCTTACTGCACAGCAAGCATCTGTAATTGTGAGACAGGCATTACAGTTGACGATTTGATTTGGATGTACTTCAAGCAAATGAAACAAATCTTTGTCGACTAAGGGGTAACTTACAGCATACTGCCCGAAGCTGTGTCTCTGTCTGAAGAGAAGGAAGCAGAGAACGGCAGAGATGATAGTCTGGGCCAGAGTGAAGACAAGGAGAGATGACTTCAACCCTCTGCTCAGTCTCTGTTGGAAATGGTAAAGGACGTAGAGCACTTACATTAATAACAATATTAATGTCTGACATTAAACGCAGTCTACATGTAGAATGGAGGGTTACCCAAACGTGGTGTCCAATGAGGTTCGGTTCATTTATTTAAAGATAATGACCCAAAGAATACAGCCAGAACTACACAGAAATGGTTTTAAGACAACAAGGTGAATTTGAAAAAAATTCTTAAAACACGTTTGTGTTTTCATGTAGTATAGATTGAAGGTAAAGAGTTCATTTTAGTCAAATAATGACTGTGAGGAAACCTTTTTGAGCCAAACACTGGAACGACTGACTGAACACGTTGGTCAGTTAAACTTAACTCACATTTCACTGCTACAGATCAGACTGTAGGCAGACAGTCAGCAAACTGTATATGTAATGTTAACTCACTGTGATTTTTTTTCAGTATGGTGACAAAAAATTAAGCCGACACCAACCGTGGCGTAGTGTCTGTCGTTGCAGCTGTCGTGTATCGTCTTGACACAGGGCACCTCAGGATGCTTTTCCATGTCCACAGAGTAGATGATCACAGCCACCACTGACAGCACAACGGACACCACAGTCACCATCAAACACACCTGCAGCTGAAAAAAACACATTTCGTCCTTCTAAACATTTGGCTCGGGCTGTCTAGAATTTTGGGATTTTGTTTGGGATTTTGCGGAACAGACTCACAAACTTCATGGTGCAGTGTTTGTCCAGGACGATGGCAGCCACTCCTGCTGTGATGAACTGGAAGCACACAGAGCCTTTGAACCAGTCATTTATATCGTCTGTTGTTTCTTTTAAGAACATGCATGTCAAGAGAAGCCACTCATAAACACACACACAATCACAGACTCACCATCAGGCCGCTCCACCAGGGAACTCCCAGACTGACCACCTCAGTGAGCTCAGTGAAGTGCAGAGGAATGGAGTACGACATGACCATCAAGCCCAGCATCACCTGACTCACCTGGCACACACACACACACACATACCCTATTACTATTAAGCAGATGTGTGACGCACCACAGCAGCAGAGTGGTGGTAAAAGGTGACTGCGTAAACCCATCTTGACTCTGTACTATACTAACTGAGCTGTGTTGCTTTTTTGGCTGAGCGAGAGCCTGTTATAACGAGCCCAGTTCTATCCATCTGCAAGGGATCAAATGATAAATGGTCTGCACTTATACAGTGAGTTTCTGCCTGAGTGGTACTCAAAGCACTTCACAATATTCAATAATCAACAATAAACACAGTTTTTCTTTTTTTTTTTTTAACCTCCCCCTCAGTTCATGCTCAGTCCATTCCCGTGCTTTCAGTTAGCAGGGTGTCTTCAAAACATGCATGTTTCAATCAAATTAGGCAATCGTGTGACAGTAACACATTGTTTTTGTCTATGAATTCCTCCGACAGAGATTTTGATTTCTGCAGCTTTCATGCATTTCACAGTCTTCCACGTTTGTGTGTGTGTAAAACTACAGTTTCACTATTTTTTAAAAACGTAGCAAACCCTTTATGGTTTATGATTAAATGGTTATTAATAAATGACAATCTGTTGCTTGCACCGGCTGCAAAGAGGTATCGATAGAGAAGAACTTGAACATGGTTTCAACAACACATTCATTAGTGGTGATAAAAACATTAGATGGCCATTTCTCTGTAAACAGCGTAACACCAACAAGATACACTTAACTTATCTTTTCAGGTCTATTACTTTATTTGTGACTGAGTTACAGGTGGTTGTCTCCTGTGCCCAGTGTTTGGGCAAAGCCAAATACATCCTGGGCCTATGTTGCCCTTTCTATCTGTCTAATCCTGCCTCACACATCCACTCTTTATCTCTAATGTAACAACACAAATACAAACACAGAGCTCTTTCTCACCCCCAGACATTTGGGCTCTCCTCTCTGGATAGCAGCTCGCAGTGCCTGTTGTCTGTCAGTCAGCTTGACAGTATTCACATCTTCCAGCACCTGAACTGTTAGATCCCTGGAGACCGACACTGCCATCACCTGTGAAGGACAGCAGAGCTCACTATCCGCTGTGATCATCACACACTAAACGTAGGGAGTTGTATATTGTGTATTTGGGGAAGCTACAGACTTTTGCTAAAACATGCAGTCTTGTAGAAGTCTCTGTTTCTTTTAAATGCAACAGTAAACCACTCCAATGAGTCATCACCAGGACCCTACAACTGACTGGCCTACATTCAGTCCTTAATGTCAGTATTTACCGTGGCGCTTTATCTGTGATCAAATCACACGACTTTCAACTGATTTCTACACATTCATTTTCCAAAATTAAATTGAAATTAAGAGGTTTACGTCATTTTACTGATATCTGGAAGCGGGCAGGATAGAAACAAAATATAAACGCAGCATGTTATATTTCATTAAATTCTTTTCAATCTTTGTAACATTGGGGAATAAGCATCTGTTGCTCCAACACATGGCATCTCCACACAGAATGGACATCACGAAACCACCAAGTATGCCGTATACTGAAAACACGGACAGTGGGTCATAGACCAGAAATCACAAGTCAGTAACGAGTGTGTCCACCACTTGCATCGCATAGCGCCACACATCTGTGACACATAGACTTGATGAAGCTGTCAGTGCTGCTTATGGAATGCTGTCCACTCTTGTTGAAGGGTTTGGGAACACTTTAGAGGAGCATCATCATGTTGTTGGACCCGTTTGTCAGGAGCATCCCTCAGATGTTCGACTGCTGACACGTCTGGCACATATACAGGTGAGGGTAGGACTCAAACATTTACACTTGCTAGAAGAGCAGTGCATATTCTGGCAACACGAGGAAGCACAGTGTCTTGCAAAAACTTCAGGACATGGCTGTGAGGGTTTTATTTTGATATTGTTGCATATTGACATTGTCATCGAAGACAATCAATGGCATATTCCTTCTCATATCATCACCCCTCTGCCTTCATGGGCCACTCTCTGTAGGACATTGTCATCTTCATGGCGCTCCCTGTACAGCACCAAACACAATGTCTGTCAAAATTCAGATCCCTCAGATTTCTTGCACTCTGAGCAGATATTATTTGGCCATTAACACCAACAAATTTATCAGCAATTAACTACTTCGCAGATGGAAAAGCTGCATGTCATGATCCTGGGTATGTAGTCATTTGGCAGATTTTCATGCTGTCCAAAAAACTATTTCCGTGACAAGGAGTTGTAGAGTTGTGGACACTTAGGTGCCTGGCTATGACCCCAACTGATGTGCCAGCATCCAACAGCTTTACTTGTCTGGCTCTTGCATTATTTAGTGGTTGTAAATTTGTCACTAGTTGAACCTAAACCAAAGCATTTGCATGTTACCTTCATGTTTTTTCCTTTTTAAATAGAAGTGCTTTACACAAAAATGAAAAACTGTCAGATTAAGACTGTGAACTGGTTTATATTCCAGCATGCTGCCACTTTTTGTCACAACTATTGATATTTCAGCATCGATCCACACATGACTAGAGGGGACACTTTGGATCACTTTAAGTAACCCAAGGGAACAGCATATGTCTGTAGAACAATGACATCCAGCACAGCGGATGGTTGTGCCAGAGGTCTCAGTTAAACACAAGCTGCTTCTACATCTTGACATGAAGCAGACTGCTGTCTACATGAGCGTTTACGCACACGTTTGTCCCAAAATGTTTCCTCGTTCTGAGTTGTGTATGGCCTCACACAGTTACGTGCTGTGGCAGTTGTAGCAGTCTATTAATGGATCATGTCCTTAAAATCAAATCACCCAGCATATGTGAATTCAGCAGCCCTGACGCACAGCCAGAACAGGCCTCTCTATCTGTCGGTAGTCCGCTACATGTAAAGCCGCTTGGCGAGTGACGAGAGGGCAGAAAATGTCTGGTTCCTACCTTGTTTTCTCACTAAAAGTTATTAGGTTTATCCTTCCTTACAAGTTATGTCTTCTGTTGAGCACTTCTGGTGCTTGACGCGCCTCCAGAGCTTCTCGTTTCCCAGAGAGCGCTGCGTGAGGGAATGTGTTTACTGGAGAGAGAGAGACAGAAAGACAGAGAGAGAGAGAGAGAGAGAGAGAGAGAGAGAGGGGCTGCTCTGTGCCTTTGGATGAAATCCAGCAGAGCTCCTCCTTCGCTTCCTCTCCTAGTTTCGTGCATTCCAGAAATCATTTTGTTGTCGGGATTTTTACCGTTTAAAGTTCATCTAACGGACAGCGAAGCGGCGCCGTTCGCTCGGTGTGACACTCAGACCCTCCCGGTGCCATCCAGAGACTGCACAGGCTTTTTTGTCAGGGTAAGTAACCCTGCTGCTCTATAAGCCACCGATTTGTGGTTGTTTACAAGTGTGAATGTGTCTTGAAACAGTTCTTAAACAGTAGAGTGACACTTTGTGTAGTTTTGGCACAATGTGACTGTGAGGTTAAAGTGGAAATGTCCCCTTTGGTCAGACGACAGTGGCTCTGAGGAGGGTGAAAGGAGAGCAGATCAGGGCAACAGGGTATAATGTTGATGGTGTTTACATCGCATTAATGGAGAATTTACTCTATAGGGGTGTATGCATTTTATATAGTGCAACATTTGGGGACACCAATGTGTTGGGCAAATGAACTTTTATAAAGTTACCACATATATCATTTTCTAAAATTTGAGGATTTCAGGTACTTTGTCTCCACCCCCCTGTAACTACTGCACAGACCCCTGGTTGCAAACAATATCACCAGGGCAAGATGGCAGCTCCCATCTCTGCAGTACTTTCACTTCACTTTTCTGCACTGGAAAGACGTGGGGATGTGTCAGACATATTTATGCAATGGTTGACGAAGCCCATCTGTGCTCAGGACATGTGGTGGATTCACAAGAATCCTCGCTCGAGACAATGCAACTGGACTTCCCGTTCATGTTTTTGAAGATGTTTCTCACGGACCACTGCAACACAGTTAGATATTAGTTGAAGTTAGCAGTCTACCTATCCAGGAGAAGTATCACTTCTTCTTAATTCATGTTTTCTGCATCTGCGTGTGGTGTCAGTGTGAGGTGCATTTCCTCAGACTGACACACTAACAAATGGTGCCTAAAACAAATGCTTGTGTTGCGGAGAAGCTGTAGGAGGAGATTCTTGGTCATCTACATCTTTACAAATTATTAACTACTTAGTTGTGGTTCGGCCCTGTGATAGACTGGCGACCTGTCCAGGGTGTCCCCTGCCTTCGCCCTAAGTCGGCTGAGATAGGCTCCAACCCCCCCGCGACCCTAGTGAGGATTAAGCGGTGTATAGATAATGGATGGATGGATAGTTGTGGTTAAGGTGCTCCGATTTGAACAAGTTTTTTATCAAGGATGCTCAAACACAGCAGGAGGTTCAAAATTCTCCAGGAACCCTGCGTTTTGTCCACTCGGCACATCTTAGGAATAATCACAGTAACACATC